TCGAATGGTACGGTCTCGAATTCGCCTATACTTGAGGAAGGAACGGCAGAAACTGATACGCAAGAAGCCAATCAATCAGCTAGCACTGAGAGGGAAAGTACAGGAATTTAGAGTCTCACTTCAGTACAGGAATTCAGAGTCTCACTTCAGGATAGGTACTCGGCTCTTAGTGAGGAAACCAACCTTAGCATAGATACAATGAATGATAATCTGACGAGTATCATTACGGAGTGTGCAGTGAAAGTTGGAGGCAGGGTAGTTAGACAGGACACTGGCAAGCTTTCCCTGGAAACGAAGAATCTCATTAAGAAGCGTCAAATCATGAAAGTCTCAAGTACAACAGACAAAATAGAACTGGCAGAGCTTTCAAAGTTGATCAATAGGCGTAAGGTATCCGATGTAAGAAGGGATAACACGGAGAGAATTGAACACGCTCTGAAAAACAGAGGAAGCGTCAAAGCAGTGAAGAGGAAACGTGGAATAGGCAAAAATTGGATGTATGCACTAAGGGACAAAGAAGGCAAAATAACTACCAATATGGATAGGATAGTTAAAATAGCGGAGGAGTTTTACAGAGATCTGTACAGTAGCCGGGGCACTCGTGTAACTCGTGTTAAACCCTCTCCAGGTACTGCGCACATGGCATCTGCAAACAAAGTCACACCTGCCGAGCCTTGACAGGAAGCTTGCGGTGCACCAAAACAGCTAAGGATCCTAAAAGTGAATGCCCGAAGCATAGCAAATAAAACTGCTGAGTTAGGAAGTCTCTTATACAAATATGATCCCCATCTGACGGTCATAAGTGAAACATGGTTGCACGATGGTGTCAGCGGCAGCTATATTGTACCTGACTCGCACCAAATATTCCGTCGCGACCGCTCTTCTCGGGGAGGAGGAGTTGCTGTCATATTAAAAAAATCGTTCTCAGTCACTCTGCTTTCGCAGATTGATTCTCATGAAAGCCTCTTTTTGAAAGTAACTTTCTGGGGTCATGTGTTTACAGTTTGCGCGGTATACAGGCCACCGTCTTCTCCACCCGAGTTTCTAAAAATGCTTTTGGATTATATGACAGCAACAAATCTGGGCAAGATTATTATGACGGGTGATTTTAACATGCCATCTATCAACAGGACAAGTGACGATCTTTCCCAAACAGAGGATATCCCACTTCTGACCTAATGATGGCTAGTGACATGGACCAAGTGGTAAAGGAGGTCACCCGTCCATCTGGTTATGGTGGCACAATTTTGGATCTCGCTTTTATCAGCAAAGCTACGTTACAGCATGATGTTTGCATAGAAGAGGGTATATCTGACCATAATCTTGTTTTCATTACTTGTTCCCTTGAAAATTGTGCTAAAAACGCTAAGCCCAAGGCAAAAGTTATTAGTAACTTTGCCCGTGCTGACGACCAGGCAATCCTAGACGAGCTTTGGGCAATCGCCGACAATGTATCAAATGAAAATCCCCTCTCACTATGGCTTGAATTTAAGAGGATGGTCCTCGATTGTATTCATATCTATGTCCCTCGTGAAAAAATCAAAACAAACCGAGCTAGTCCCTGGGTAGACAGGAATATCGTTCCCTTAAAGCGGAAACTGAAACGGGCCAAGAAAACAAAACTACCTAGAGCTGAACTCATTGAGAGTCTTAAAACAGAGCTTTCAGCAAGTTTATCCACAGCCAGAAAAAAATATTTTTGGACCACGTTGCCAAATTTTATAAAAACACAACCACAAAAGTTCTGGCGCTATCTGGGCGGCAGTAAAAAACGCTTGGAACAAATTGAAGAAAACAACGTCCAACCGAAGACCATTGCTAATACAATGAACGAGTATTTCCATTCGGTTTTCTCTCCCCAGACTGAAACAAACGGGCTGTTCACAAATGTGACTGATATTGATCCTGAATTTATATCTTGCGAAGGCGTTCTAGCACTTGTGCTGGATATAAATGAAAAGTCGTCAGAAGGGCCAGACCTAATTCCAAATGCTTTTTTGCGCCGTTAGGCCGAGCCAATGTCGCACATTTTGACGGCCATCTTTCGTTTAATGCTTGCCCCACTCACTCTTGCCTGATGATTGGCGCCTAGCTCGCATTGTGGCTGTCTTTAAAGAAGGAAATAGCTTGAAAATGGAAAATTATCGACCCATCTCACTAACATCAACCTGCTGCAAAATTTTGGAACACATAATCGCCTCTTTTATTAACAAATTTCTGGAAACAAACAGCGTCCTTTCCGAGTTCCAACATGGGTTCCACAAAGGCCTTTCTACCAGTACTCAACTTGTTACAACCTTTCATGAAATCGCACAAGCTTTAGATTCATCCAGCCAAGTAATTTAGTCTTCCTTGACTTTAGTAAAGCCTTTGATCGCGTACCCCATGATAAACTACTCACTAAGCTTTCTTCTTTGGGCCTTCCTGCGTTTATAACTAACTGGATCAAATCATATTTAACAAACAACGCAGTTTGTCGAAGTCGACGGGTGCGTATCTGACTTGGTGTAACATATGGCGTTCCACAGGGCAGTGTTTTGGGACCGGTTCTCTTTTTAATTTACATCAATGACATGACATCTGCTATTGACCCGAGAGTTTCAAATTGTTTGCAGACGACTGTCTTATCTTCAAGGAAATCATGGGCATTGATGACCAAGTCTTGTTAAACAGCAGTTTAACGGGAATCGGTCAGTGGTGCACTACCTGGGGTATGAGCTTGAACGCTGACAAAACGGTTCTACTTCGTGTAACGAAGAAAAAACAACCCTTTCAGTTTTTTTTTATTCATTAAATGGTGCACCAGTGGTAGAAAAAAGCCAGTACAAATACTTCGGGATAACGTTGACGAATACTCTGTCGTGGTCAAAGCACATAGAAAAAATCTGCGCATATGCCACACGCAAGTTAGGCTTTTTACGGTATAAACTCAAAGCGTCACCAACTCATGTCAAATTACTGGCCTTCAAAATCATAATACTTTCTAAACTGCAATACGCTTCAGTCGTATGGGACCCTTTCCTTAAAAAAGATAAGTACCGGCTTGAAATGGTGCAAATATAGGGCCACTGACTCACCAACTTCTCTAATGCTGGCGAATAGCATTTCAACCCTGGAAGATAGACCAAAAATCAATAGGCTGAAACTGCTGTTTGCTCTTTATACTGGTTCCACAAAGGTAAATACATAGGTACACATTCAGCCATTTCAATCGCGCCCTACGAGACATCGGCACACGCACAATTTGCTTCCGTATCGAGCCCACACAAACATGTTCAAGAATTCGTTTTTTCCCCGTACAGTAGCGGAATGGAATTCACTGCCTGAAGTGGTATTCACATCTCAGTCTATTTGCCATTTTGAGCGTGCCATATTGTCTGTACTGTAGTCTGTACTCGACTTGCTTTACTGTTTACCGCAATTGTGAATGTATAATAGGGAGATAAACCCATCTCAATTGTTCTGAAGGTCGTATTAACCTGTGTTTAAGCTCATCTATATATATCTATATATTGTACTTATCTTCTTGTATTTTGTGCACATCATTCATCTATCACGCTTACGTGTGTTTTCCACTTAATTTTTGTGCCTCTCCTCCTTGGTCTTTTCAAGACCACAGTATGTTGTGAATAAATAAAAAAACGACTGCGCACACCCCAACGCGGCTCCTCAGAAGCTTCAGTGTGCTCCGTAGGCGCCGCTTGCCGCTCATCACACTTTCTTATTCTAGCCATTGTAGCAAAGCCAACAAATGACACTCCATGAGGATTGTGGGTTTGACTACGTACGTAGTCCGCGATAACGAGCAGTTGTATCGGCAAGCCATCATCATCATCATCATCATTGTCGTCAGCTTTACGTTTTTTTTGTAAACAATGATGGCGGCTGCTTCTCAAGTGTGCTTAGGAAATGTTTTGCACAATTTAAGTGTAGCATGAATGCGTTTCAGCCGTTTTCGAATGTAACTGTTTCGAGAGTAGATTATTTGCGCACTCATGTTTCAAAAGTATTGTTAATGAGGGACTGCGGTATGAATATTTCTCGTAGTCGTGAGTTACAAAATCCGTTGACTCCTATGGTCGTTCGCCGGTGCTCCGAAAATATTTCGTTGCGGTGAGAATTTCGTTCCCTCTGGATTTTGTTATTGCGGGTTTCGATCGACTGTAGTCCATTACCGAAAGTACTTTCAATGTCCAGCAGTCTAATGACTTACATTTTCATCAATAATTGCAGGCGTTTTAACATCCCAAAGCCATCATACTATTATGAAAGACACGATAGTGGAGGGCTCTAAAAATATTGCCTGTTTGGGGTTCTTTATTATGCCGTTGATTTAAGTACACGAGCCTCAAGCGTTGTCGCCTTGATCGAAAATGGGGCCACCGCAGTTGGGATTTGATCCCATGACCTGCAGGTCAGCAGTGGGGCGTCATAACCACTAAACCACTGTGACGGGTAGTCGTTTACTGAATTGTTTTTTTTTTAAGGTGTTATGGAAACTACTGTGCCTTTCTTTTATTACTTATACCACTGCATACGCGTTGAAGGACAGCAAGGGAGGCGGAGGAAAAAAACTCGGAAATAGGGAGGCGAGAAAGGAAGTCAGCTCACAATAGGCCGATTTCATTTGTTATTCAGTATTGAATTCGGTATTTGAAGTCATTTATTGGCTTTATTAGCCTTTAATATATATTTAAAAATTTTAAATAATCTCATACTTCTTGCGCACATTTCTATAATTTCCTGCTACACAATCACAAAGTTGTATTGATTAGGTATAGTCCTGATGATCACAGAAGGAAGAGCATAGAGAAGACAGGCTGTTTTTCACTGTCACTCCTGGTGTATCGTGGTGAAAGTTCTCCACACAGTAACTTATTTTTTGCCAAAGGCAGACTGTGCACTGAACGTTATTAATTTTGCAAGAGATAAAACCCTTTCACAATTGCTATGCCTGATAGCCTGGCATATCCAAGAAGAATGTTGAAAAACGGACTTACAGACCATGGGCACATCATCAGCATCTTTAACCCTCTTGATCTGGAATCATAGAAAGAATATGTGAGAGCAATGAAATTGTTGGCAAGCATAAGTGTAGCATGAAATTGATTCTTTGTGTAGTATTATGAAGTAAACAAACAATGCTATGCTTAAAATGAGTGAGTACTCTATTTCGTAGCGTACTAGACGATATTTTGAACTGGTAGTGGCACAGAGCCGAGTGAAATATTGTTCATATAGACAGAATGCTGCAGTGATGAAGATTATTATACGTATCCCTAATGAACAATCCTCATGCAGATTAACTAAAACTATCATGCCACTTAAACGGGCCCCCAACACTATACGGTTGATCCCAGGTATATCAAACTCAGATATATCAAACAGTTCATAAATTCACTTGAATTTCCCATGCAGAAGTATGGGACTGTCGCACACATTTATAAAACTTCTGCAGAGCCAAACATCCGATATATCGAATGCTGTGCTGGGCTGAAACCTAGAAAGTGCATTTATTCTGACAAAGACTGGCAATTTTTGGGCTGCATTCCAACAAGCTGCAATCCCTCCTCGCGCACAAGCAATGGAAAGGCGGTGTAATTCATTGGTTGCCCAGCATTTTTGAGCGCACCAGCACGATATTCACGATCTGTTGTAGGTTGCAATGTGTGGACACAGCATTTTAAAAAAGGCCAAGTGCCCAGGGCACCAAAATCACATGACTGCAAAGTGACTTGGTGGCTTCGTCGCGATGGGCGCATTCCCTTTCTTGTTTGCTCACGCATGATTGCATGAGGGCCTGAAAAGCATAGCCTTCGAGATCCGCAATCTAGTGACATATTTTTGGCATTTTCGGTTAGAAAATACACATTCAAAGGCTACGCTTTTTCTTGCTTTACCCTTGCTGCTACAAAAATCCCTAGTGACATGCCCATTGCCAAGATGGTGGGGTACACTGTCTTTTGTTGTTTCAGGTCAGCGTTTCGACTTTCTCAGTAGTTCTCCCTTCGTTACTACTGAATGTCAAACTTAACAATGCATTGCTTGGAGCGTTAAAAATGATGACTGGTGCTGAACGACATTAAGCAAGGCACCATTGTGAAGAGTTTTCTCGTGGGCTTTGGTGACAACTAACGCCTTGGTGTGCGCCATTTTAGCTGACAACGATGCATGGCGCCTCAGTGAATTATTAGCATTTCCAGGCACCTCCTCGGATGGGAATAGTGCGAGCAACTTCATCAGTGCAGATGATAACGTCCCCATTTCTGACTGCACCGATGCCAATCTCACGGCCAACGTTGCCAGTGCTGCAAAAGTGGGCCGTCGCTAAACAGCATTTTACCGCGCTACAGAGCTTGCATTGGCGCTCACCGCCTATCGCCACTTGTGGCAGAGGGGCTTAATTCACCCATTTCGAAAGCTTCAATGCTCGATAAATGAAAATGACTTGAACATGACGGTGCACATTTTCACGCAAATAAGGTGCGGTAACTTGAAAAAGAAGTTGTCGCCTTTCCTTAAAAATACTATGAGTGAATTGTCGTGCTAACGCTTACTACGATTTCGAGGCCGTTTCGAGAGTCGCAATGCAATATTTGAGCCTAAAATACACATATTCCTCGTATTGAATTATATAAACTATTTCGCGATCTCCTTTGAGTTCAATATCTACGGAATCGACTGTACTATGCCTCATTTTTGTTTTTTTCTTGTAAGTTGCCTAGACTTGAATAGGGACAGGTTAGTGCAGCAATAAGAACTGCCATGTCGAAAAGTTACGCGTCGATGGGCTTCAACACGCATGAGTAGCCAGGCATTGAAGGTGTGTCGCAATATCAGTGGCTTGCGCGCTCTTTGCTACATGCTTCAATTATAGCTCCAATAAGCACAATAGATGTACCAAGGTTTATTTAGTCTCGCTATATAATTTGTCGCGTTTTCGATATGGACAATTTTCAGTTCCCGTTTGTGGGGACCGAGTTGGGCAGGTACATAGCAGAGTAGCTGACTGGATCATGTGATCGCAAAGCTTTGCACATGTCATGCTGAGTATTGTGAGTTTTGCACTCATGTGCCACACAAGCACCTGCAAATCAAACTTGCAGCTCCCTGCAGCCGCCGCGATGCTTTGCCTGTATGTACGGGCCGGAAGTCCATAGGTCATTCACTTAACTAGAGATCTGGTTTGACGGCACTAGAGCTTTCGTTGCCCTCTCTATAGAGCTACATCAGTGTTGGACGTGCTCGCGATGGGTCTTGATTAGGAGAATGGGCATTTAGGTACACTTGGGAAGTGACTTAAAATGTATTCTTAAACCCACACGGTGGTTGCTATAGCCTTGACATTTGATGGCACCAACCCATCAAGAAAGTCAGCTTGTGCACAGTTGACACTCGCTCGTTGCTCCACAACCAAGAAGTAACAGCTGCGACAGTGGTTAATTTCCACTCATCCTGTAAATACATGCGTGTTCTTTTCTAGCAGCCTTCTTGGTTTGTTTAAGCAGTACGCTTCCAGTGTCGAGCTGTGACAGTCTTTCACCAGCACTCGCCCTGTGCGCTTTCTTTTCGTGCGTCCTTCATGCTTAAGCGGCATGTTGCATATATGGGGTTGCTTGCCCTTCTTCATATGACATTCTAATTTCTTGCTATCACATTCACTGCCTCATCCTCGTCACGAACTAACTTTTTTTTCACAAGCACTTTCGCAAAATGGGATCATGTGCACTCACGCCGCATTAATGCTTCAGAAATGGGTTGGGAAGTTTGACAAGTTGACACACCGATGTACCACATTTAAGAGGTCGCGATGTCAATATGAGAGTGCACTGCTCAGCCGGAAATTCCAGGACTTTCAAGGGCCTTGAAAATGCATTTTTCGAATCCAAGGGTTTTCAAAGATTTCAAGGACCTGTACGAACCTTGTACAGCATAAGCGCTGTTATGACATCACAACAAAAGCAGACTAATTTGGACCATCACCCGCTAAAGAGAACTATGTGTAGATCCGAAGTAGCGGGCTCTAACGCTTACACTGGCGGCAACGTTGACGCTGGCGCTCATCAAGCGAAAGCCAACCCTTGACTGACCGAATGCACAATGAAGTGCCTACATATACGGGGTGGCCAGTGAACGATTGCGCAGCGCGAGCAGTCTGTTTTTACTTGCAGACGCTGCCTGCATTGGCCTTGCGAGGAGAGAGAGGGAGGGAGGGGAGCGACAGTTTTGCAGGTGTCTTCCTGGGCCAGCAAGACACCTGAGGATGCGGCACGAGATGTGAGCAGGCGTAGTGGGGGTGTACAGAGAGACGGCATAACTCAGGCTAGCTAAAGAGCTGCTTCGCATCAAATAAAAAATCGTAACAGAAGGAGAATCCAAACCGAGCCACTGGCAGCCACTAAGACTCTACGACTGAGCTACCCCGGTTGTGGTGTTTGCGAAAGACGTAAGAAGCACCGGCAGCACCACCGTACAAAAGACCTTTATTGTCCGCAACACATCGAATATATAAATAAAAGACAGACGCGCCCCCTGGGGGTGAAAGAACACAAAGTAAGACCGAAACTGAATATAACATACTCCCTCCCTTATATGTAGTGATTAGTTGTTAGTAAGTGTTAGTAAGAAACCCCTATGCATGCACTGTACATTTTACACGCTATATACACATACATATTTACACTACATACACACTGTGCTATACACCCAGGCAACTAGTGGGTCTGATAGTCCTTGAGCCAGACCGGTGGCCGGTGCTCTCGGGACAGCCGATGGGGATGCTGCACGGCCGGAGATGGTAATGAGCTTGCAGAGCTCTGTAGTACGCCAGGAGACAACGATTGCGGCCCTGGAGAAGGCGGCTGCAGCATGGCAGGCTCCGGTACAGGCAGCTGCGGATCAGGAGCAGGCGACTGCGGTACGGCAGACTGCAGTACGCCAGGAGGCGGCGGCTGCGACACGGGAGAAGGCGGCGGCGGCAGGGCAGGCTGCGGCACTTGAACCGGAAGCTGTGGCGCAGGTAGCTCCGAACGTTGGTATGGTGGACTCGTGCCCCTCTCAGGAACCCGGGAAAGCTTGGAGGCGTTCCATGTGCGGCCGTCTGCAAGTCGGAAAGAGGCAGGTCCCCTCTTCCCCAACACCTCAGTAGGCGAGGAAAAAGAGCGATCCCCCTTGAAGCGAACGGACGGCTTCTTGATACGAACGAGATCACCCACAGCTATCTTTGGCTCCTTAGCAGCTCTCCTGCGGTCCGTGTACTCCTTACTGCTTCGCTGTTGAAGGCGGACCCTTTGGCGCAGTGGCGCCAGTTCCTTTGCTGGGTCTTTTGCAAACGCTGGTGCCGAAAACCCCACAACATCCAATCTGGTTCGGGGCATTCGCCCATGCAGCAGAACTTCTGGGGCAACTACAGTGGTAGCCTGTGGAGTACAGCGGTGAATAGAGAGGTAGTCCATAACTGCTTGTCGGATAGGTCTCCTTTCGAGGAGTGAAACCTGGATGAATTTCTTCAGAGTTCGATTGAACCTCTCGACTTGCCCATTCGCCTGGGGGTAATATACAGACGAATGAGACAGCTTGATGGCTCGGTTTTGAAGAAAGGTTACAAATTCACATGAAGTGAACTGCGGCCCATTGTCGCAAACAATCTCTTCCGGGTATCCTTCACGGGCAAAAACACTGGTTAAGAAGTCTTTCACGGTGCTTGTGGCCACTTCGCTGCAGAAATATATCTTTGGCCATTTGGAATGGTAATCGACCAGTGTTATAGCAAATCGGCTATTGTGAGGTGCATGTTCCAATGGGCCAACAATGTCTAGGCCCAGTTTCTGCCATGGCCTTTCAGGCCAGTCAATAGGCTGCAATGGCGCTGGCGATGTTTTGGCAGACTTATCTGCCTCCAGGCAGATGTGACAGTTTTTCACGGCAGATTCAGCTTTCTTGTCCATCCGTGGCCACCAGAATAGCTCACGAAGTCGCGCCTTTGTGCGCGTGATGCCCGGATGTGCCTCGTGGGCAACGGCGATGAACTGAGCCGTGAG